CCACCCTCAGTATTTCCTAACAGAAGTGGCTAAGACGGTAGAACGGGGTCTTCTGTCCCACGGTTCAGCTGGCAGTTAGGCTTAGTGCTCAGATAGTAATCACAGAAACAGTGTCAGCAGGGTGTCCATTTGGAACCTTACCCAGAAGTGACAAAAAAGAAGGATAAGACAGAAAGGGGACATCTTTGAATTATTGGACCTATTTCTTTCTACCAGTTGTGTTCTTTCCTCAAGCAAGGGAGACACAAATGGGACCACCATTCGACATTGTACAAGTGTCATAGCTTGCTTTGCTTCAGTTTTCTATTTGTCAAATGGGGCTTATGGGAGGATTATATGTTTTAAAGCTCTTGGAACAGTGACTGGGACATGGTAAGTCCCCAGGAATGTATGTTAGCTCTTGTTGTGATTTATCAAGTATTAGTATTATGTGCCAAGTCCTGTGGTAGGCATTTTACTGATACTTATTTTAATCCTCACCTGCAGTTCTGCAAAATAGATCTTGTGAGTTTCATCTGAGGAGATGAAGTCTCAGAGAGGTAAAGTCATGTGTCCAAGGTGAGCTGCTGTGCGAAGGTGCCAAAATCAAACCAGGTCAGCCTGGCCACAAAGCCTGTGCCATCGCTGTGCTTAAGGGTAAACAGTGTATGAGCAGACATCCTTCTATGTAAATGGGACGAGAGCCATCAAGCTAAACAGCTCCCTACGCCACACAGTTCAGGGTAATTCATATCCACTGAGTAAACAGACCATTCTGGGCAAGAATTCCCTTGTGTCAACTTGCCTGTTCTAGGAATTCTCAGTATATATATTGGAGCCCTACCAAAAATTCATCACGAGACTTGTCTTTCTTGAGATCCATCTGAAGAGGCTTAGCTAATAAACTGAAGGACCTTCTTATGAGGTGGTTTCACTGTGGGGCTGTCCCTTGTTATCTCCCGAAGGATGACTCCTCTGAGTGAGTCTGATACACTTCATGGTCCCCATGTCTCCAAGAGTTGGGGAGCATAGCTAGCCCACCTTGTAGGCTGACTGCCTTGAAACCCCATCTTGTTCATTCCCTGCCCTGGGTTAGTTGTCCTTCCTGTGTTCTCACAGCACCCTGTGCCTGCATCTGTTAGAGCACCTTGTCACATTGCCTTTGCCCACGTCTTTGCATCTTTTCCCACCAGATCAGGTATAGAATGCTATATCCTACTCACCTCACAGCCCCAGAATTTATCATACTTCCTGTAACAACAATAATAACCGCAGTGTTATCAAAGTTGACATTCATTGGGAACTTACTATATGCCTTTTGAAATAGGTACTATTGTGATGCTTACTTTAAAGGCAAAGAAGCTGAAGCACAAAGAGATTTGTTTACTACCCTAGTCACAGAACCATAAGTGGAAGAGCTGGGTGTGAACCCAGGCAGTTTGATTCTAGACCCATGCTTTTAACCAGTACTCTGATGCCTCTGTGTAGTAGATGCTTCATTAGTTAATATTTGTAAATGGATACACATGTGAATGTAATTGCTATGTTTTCAGAGATATATGACCTGTGACATAACTTATATCTGTGCAATAGTAAGCTATGTTGTAATGGAGCTCTTCTATCCCTATGCGTGCTTGGAGAGGAGGAGCAGTACAGGGCCGTGTTTGTGAACACACATTAGATATAAATGCAACTTCTATTTCTGCCATTGATGATCATCACCTCTGTGGGCAAGTTACTTACCCTTTTTTTAGTGGCATTTTCCTCAGCTGGAAAATAAGAATTATGTTGCCTACCTCCTACAGAAAACTTAGAGTAAAGAGACTACTATAATTAACCATTCCTGAAACACAGTACTTACTCAACAGACATGGGAAGATATTGTTATTACTATTGTCATGAACATTGTTTTTAAAACTTTATAATTGACAACACTACTGCCTATCAGTGGACAAGGAGTTCTTAACCAGTATGAGTGATACTAAGTGATGATGCTGGAGCTTTAAGTCTAAAGTCACCAAATTCAGGACAGAGATGTTTGACCCATGAATTTCAGAGGGCTGCAAAACACTCCAGAAACGAATGTAGCTTTTGTCCAATCTCCACATGTTTGTCTGTAGTGTACACTGTGGGGTTTAGGGAGCCTGGGCAGAGGAAGGAACCAGAGGTATCCATGGTCAGTGCCAGCCATCTGGCGTGTAGCGGCTTGTAAGTGAGCAGTGGGCTCGAAGGTCGAGTGGACAACTGTATAACAAAGGCTGTTAGGAGATCACGAGGATACTGAATACCTAACAGCTAACAGGAGCTATGATTTATTGTTCTGTGGACACTGAACTTGGCACATAATAAAGACTCATTCATTCATTCAACACTATTTTTGAGCCAGGCGCTCTTATTGGCCCAGGGAATCAATAATAACTAAAACAAAGTCCTGAGTACTCAGGTCCCTTTATACTTTATAAGCATCATCATAACAACACTGTGATGTAGATGTTACCATTGCCATTTGATAGATGAGGGAGCTGAGGCACAGAGAGGTTAAATACCTCACCTGAGGCCTCATAATTATAAAGTAGTGAGCCTAGGATTTGAATCCAGGTCTTTCTCATGCTAAAATCCTTTCTTTAGCTACAATATGATACTGCTTATCAAGCAAATAGCAAACGCTGAGATCATGTATGTATGTGGCAGGGGGGTGTTGGAGGGGTGGGATGTTTGTTGACTCAGGACTATCTAAACAGCTATCATTGTGATATAACAATAAATAATAGTCATCACTGATCTACAGAACATGAGAAACTTTGGTTGTGGCTTCTATTCTTGAGCTCGGACTTTCATTTTACTGCTTCTTGTCAACATCAGTGTATACTTGGTGGCCCTCAACAAAGAGAAGAATGTTTATGCTTAGGTTGATAACCAGGTAGAAGCTCTGAGATCCTGAGGTTCATTTCCAGGATGCCTGCTTAGTAATGCCGGAGTGCCCTCCAGAGCTTGGACAAGGCCAGCAGGCACTATGACCATTGAGATGTTGTCCAAACCTAGGATTAGGTGGTCACGTATCAGTGACTTTGCACAGAGTGAGGTGCTTTGGTCCCTTCAGGGCTGTGGATGGGGGTGGGTAGCACTAGTGGGCTGCCACCGACCCCTTTGTTTAGGTCTCTCACATGCCTGTTTTCCACGGATTGGGAAGGAAGTTTCAGAGGCACCATTTCAAATGCCACAGAAAGGGAGAAGGGGCAGTGCAGAGGGTCACCGCAGTGGGGCATAAAGAACCCAGAAATAATGCTGTGCTCTGAGTCGGGATCTTGGTGGCCTCATCTTGTTTTCAGGGGATGCCATTGCTTCTAGGAAGCACAGCCACCGCTTAGCTTTACAAGTCAGCTCCTTCAGTCTGTCGATTCAGAAGCTGTTCCGTTGCCCTCTGATTCCGTTGACATAATTCGATGATGCAAGGGTTGGGCAGTCAAGAAGGAAGGACATTGTACTGGGACATCAGGAAAACCAGATTCTGGCCCTGGCTCTGTCCCCACTGGCTGGGAGACCCTGGACAAGTGCCTTTGCTCCTCAGGGCTTTCCTCTTCTCAGCAATGAAGCAAAAGAGGGAGAACTGGATGTTGATGTTTCCTGTGATCCTTTCTGGCTCTAAAGTTGTGAGTTTATCTGATATTTGCAGCCTTATAGTGTCATTTTAATTTCCATGCTCTATATTTAAAACCACATTTTTCTGCCCTGTTAGTGTGCTGCATTCTTTCTATTGCTTCAGAACACATAGTGCTGGTCCTTAATGTCTGATAACTATTCGTTAAATTAACGAATGCATATAGGCGGAAATGTGAATGCATGCAAACACTGTTAACCACTGGTGTCACTTCCAGACTTGGGTTCTTTATGGTCCAGTGTGGGTTGCTAGGAGGATTGAGATAGCCAGTATGGAATATTGCAATGGTGTGGGCACACAGAAATCCATTTCTAACTACTATTGTTGCTGCTACTATTGTAATTCTATGCCTCATTTTCTATAAATACGGAATAGTATGCATACGGTTTTGTAACTACCTGTTTTCAATAAGGAGACTTTTTTTCATGTCACTAGTATTCTCTTATTTAATTTTAATGGCTGCATCCTATCAGAGAGTTTCTAGAAGTTTATTTGGCCAATCTCTTATGTATTGTTTGTTCAAGTTTTTCCATATTATAAGCAACGTATCTAAATAGTCTTATTTTTAAAAAACAACATATTGCTTTTGCAACATGAAAAGTATTTTCAATAAGAAATGCTCATCCCATGACACTATCGACTGCCTGCTTAAGCTAAAACAGTAGAGAAGTCTGTATAGGATGATGGGTAACTAAGAGCGCACCAGCCTTGGCTTCCTACATGCAAAGAGAGGCAGTGATCGCCATCATTACGTTATCATTGAATGAGAGAAAAGCAGTTTTCCTAAATTTAAAGCCTTGTCCCTTTCCCCTTTTCAGCAGGAAAAGGATAAATTGTGGGGCCAGGTCATATGGGAAGAGGATCTACCCGGAGATTGGAGGCCTGAGCTTGATGCTCCCCTCTGCTGTCTAACCTCAGGCAAAGAGCTTACCTCTCTGGACTTGGTTTATTTTTCTGTGAATGAGAATGTTAATATTATTATTAATATTACCCACTCTTTCATCACAGATTTGGAAAATGGAAGCAGGGAAGGTTGTAAGCATAAAATGTAATCGTAGATACAAGATTAATTTGAAGTATGAAAGTCAGTGTTGTAGAGAAGTGAGTTATCGAGAATATGGGGTCACTGGTTCTTTGTGTACTGTTCACAATGTGGTCTGGAATGTATCTAGCGTTGACAGTGGTTTTTGAGAAAACCGTTACCTTCCATACCACCACTGTTAAAAGGGAGCAGAAACAGCAATTCAGTCCTCCGCTATTTGCATGCTTTTTATTTTTAATCCTTGCCAGATGTAGACTGGCCATGAGCCCAGAGGGTGAGCAATTTCTGATAGAGGTAGTTTTGTTCTTGTTTCCCTTCTAGACAAAGAATTCTTGAAGGAAAAGGAGAAATTAGAAATGGAGTTAGCAGCAGTGCGGACTGCAAGTGAGGACCATCGGAGACACATTGAGATCCTGGACCAGGCTTTGAGCAATGCCCAGGCCAGGGTCATCAAGCTGGAAGAGGAGGTGAGACCAGGCTGTGGGGATTTGGTGGGGAAGAGGGGAAGCAGAGCCCAGAGGGCTTCCACTTTCTTTTCCTAACCCACTACCTTAACCAGAGCCAATTCCAAGGAGCTGAGACAGGGGAGGAATATGGGAAACTTCTCAAATAAAAGTGAATAAAAACAGAATCTATGCATTCTAAAGCCAGGCAAAGTCTGAAAAGCACAGGGGAATCCCATCAGCAAAGCACTCACACTCGGTGTGAAGCCCAGCCTGTAGCCCATCGGTTGACATGTGTCCTACTCAGGCGTCATGCATTGCATTTAGTAGTTTCTGATGAAATCAACCCTTTAGCTTAAGCATTATGAGGTAGCCTTTTCCTCAACCTGGCTGAGGAATTAAAATGACCATTTCTGAGGTCCAAGCTAAGGAATCCAGGCTATAGATGAAGAAGAAGAAAAGGAGCAGAGGCCTAGCCAGGCAGCCAGGGGCCTGCTGCCCTGCACCTTCCAGCGCCCTGCGGTGGTGGCGGCAGGTGCCTCTGTGTTACACAGGCTTATCTGAGCAGGCTTACTGAGCACTTACAAAAGTGCTTAGCTTGTCGCTGGGCACAGAGGAAACAGTATTGTTACTAACCCAACTGTTGTTGAATTAAAAAAAAACTGTCTCTTCAGAAAACCTCCCCCGATGCTAAGTAACAGGGATGTTTCATCAAATTTCAAACAGAAGGATAAAGCAGCTGAAGAGGAAGATGATGGAGTAAACGAGGGTCTCGCCCATTGGAAGCCTTTAAAACCCCATAAGTCTTGCATAGAAACTACCATTTTAATACTAGCATAAGGATGCGGGGCGGCAGCCCCCATGGTATCTTCCATGTTGCCACTAAGGAACGTATCAAATATGAAAACACTTGCCACAGAAAGTGACCTCAACCCCTTAAAGACAGGAGATCTGTTATGCTTGAGGAGGCTGGGGCTTCTCATTATTGTCATTACTGAAATGACATCTCCATCTCCATGAGTGGAGCTAAGGAAAATGGTGGTTTTAAAAATCTTTTAGTTTCAATATTTCTATTAAAGTAAGAGTTCACTGTGAGCTTCTTGAAGACAAGTTATAACAACCAATATGGGTCTTTTTTTATCATTATATTTCTGTGAAATCTTTAGTTGGTTGAATGTAACCTCTCCAGAATGTCTCATAGGTCTGCTTCCAGCATCACTCCTTTCTAATTAGGGTTTCCTTTAATGGTCTTCATTCAGTTCAGATACTGAGAGCCTACTGTAATTTACCATGATGGGTAAGAGTGAACTCTAGAGCAGACAGCTGTAAACGAGAGTCCTGGCTGTATGGCCTGTCAGCTGTGTGACCTTAAGCAAGTCATATAACCTTGAAGACTTTTCTCATCTCTAATGAAGATAATAAAGGACTTTACCTCCTCTTCCTGTTATTATTTGGAGGATTAAATGAGATACTACATATAAAGCACAGTGCTTGGCATGGTAGTGTTCCGACAGTGTTGACTGATGTAATTACTGTTATTAATCATCCTCATCAGGATATATGCCTTGCCAGAATTAAGGTTGATACAAAGGTGAAGGAGACAGATTCCTGCCTTCAAACTTCTTGCAGTTGCTTAAGGATAATATTTATTCATTTAGCAAATACTTACTGGGTGCCTACTAAATGCTGAGCGCTATTCCAGGCATTGGGTACGCCCTGTTCACTCTGCCCAGCGGGGACCGAAATAGGCAAATCTCTTGGTGCTTATAGTCTAGTGGCTACACATTCAGAGAAGTATATTCAGTGGAAGTTATGGTAAGTGGTGTATGAATCACACACACAAAATATTTTGTCAGATTAGGCTGCAGGAACCTTCACTTAGTAGGTCTTCAGAAGCCAGGGGAATTGAGCAATCAAAATCACAAGGAATGAAAGGGCCAGATAAAAATCGATCCTAAGAACAGATGTAAAAAGTCTGTAAAGTTGCTGTCTCCTCTTTGAAAGGTGAAAGCATCTCCATTTTATTCCAGTGACTTCAGCTAGGACAGGATATAGGTATAACTCACAGTGGTGCTGCCTGCTGAGTCAGAAAGCTCACCTAGCAGCTAAATCACTAGCGTGTTCCAACTTGCCAGTGTCATCATTGAACTCAAGATTGAATACACCCAGGTGCAGAATGACAGGAAATAGCATCCGGTGTCTTCTCACCCAGGACCAAATCAAGTCGATGCCTAAGCCTGATTTTTGGCACTAGCCAGTTCTCAGAATGCTGTCACTATGCCCAGGATTTATGAACATGGGCCAAACTCCTAATTGGAAGAAAACAAAGTATGAGAGTGAGAGTTGGAAGTCGTTGGTCATAATTCTAAATCCATACCTGATGTGGCATTTCCATAAATTATTTTAACCTTAATTTCCATCTCCTCAGTTATTGTGTTGTTGAATATTCACTATGCACTTCCCATCTCTTCAGGGCTGCCAACTAATCTATAAAGGACTCTGAAATCTTTAGGACAAAGTTACTCCATAGATGTCTATAATAAGATTTTTTTTTTTTATTCACACATACATAAATGGGTACACATACATATATACATACATCCCTAATTTCTCTATTATAAATGTAATTTATGCTTATTATAGAAAACTCGAAAAAATATAGAAAAGAATAAAGAAGTAATTGCCATTCTGTCATATAGATAAGCATGCTTAATGCTCTAAGTATTTCATTCCTGCCTTTTTTTCATGGCTAGATAGACATCATTATGATAATGTCGTATATAATTTTTGATTCCGGATTTTTTACTTGACATTGTATAATAAGCATTTCTTCATGATATCCAAAACTCTTTTTTTAATTCTATTTATTTTATGTTATTTTTAATTTTACTTTAAGTTCCAGAATACAAGTGCAGAACGTGTAGATTTGTTACATAGGTATATATGTGCCATGGTGGTTTCCTGCACCTATCAACCCATCATCCAGGTTGTAAGCCTCACATGCATTAGCTATTTGTCCTAATCCTCTCCCTCCCCTCACCCCTACCCCTCAACTTGCCCCGGTGTGTTTTGTTACCTCCCTGTGCCTATGTGTTCTCATTGTTCAGCTTCCACTTAACAAGGGAGAACATGCGATGTTTTATTTTCTGTTCCTGTGTTAGTTTGCTGAGAATGATGGCTTCCACCTTCATCCATGTCCCTGCAAAGGACATGATCTCATTCCTTTTTATGGCTACATAGTATTCCATGGTGTATATGTGCCACATTTTCTTCCTCCAGTCTATCATTGATGGGCATTTGGGTTGCTTCCATGTCTTTACTATTGTAAATAGTGCTGCAATAAACATACGTGCAAAAACTCTTTATTTACTTCACTTCCAGTGCCTGAAAATGCAGCAATTATTAAGCAGTAAACAAGTATTGAGCTCAAAGCTGCACAAATTACCAAAAGCAGGTACCCCAGTAGGGTCTTCAATTTCATACATCCTAGCCTATGTGTAAATCTTTTCTGTTCCAGTGCACTTGAAGGGTAGGAGTAGAGAGGTGGGAGGTACCTGCACCTGTAGTTTTGTTTTGTTTTGTTATGTTTTTTTGAGACGGAGTCTCGCTCTGTCGCCCGGGCTGGAGTGCAGTGGCCGGATCTCAGCTCACTGCAAGCTCTGCCTCCCGGGTTTACGCCATTCTCCTGCCTCAGCCTCCCGAGTAGCTGGGACTATAGGCGCCCGCCACCTCGCCCAGCTAGTTTTTTTGTATTTTTTAGTAGAGACGGGGTTTCAGCGTGTTAGCCAGGATGGTCTCGATCTCCTGACCTCGTGATCTGCCCGTCTCAGCCTCCCAAAGTGCTGGGATTACAGGCTTGAGCCACCGCGCCCGGCCAACCTGTAGTTTAAATAGGATCTCCAGGTAATCTGACCCTACCTCCTCCACCCCAGCTTTGAGAATCAATGGTCTAAATTCTGTGCTTTTTTACTCTTCTCCACTCAGTTACGAGAGAAGCAAGCATATGTTGAGAAAGTCGAGAAGTTGCAGCAGGCCCTGACCCAGCTGCAGTCTGCATGTGAGAAGCGAGAGCAGATGGAGCGGAGACTGCGGACTTGGCTGGAGAGAGAGCTGGACGCACTGAGAACCCAGCAGGTAAGGAACTGGGCATAGACTGGTGAAAGAATTAGATATATTCACTCAGCAAATGTATGGAACATCTACCATGGACCAGATGCTGCACCTTGCTCCCAGGATTCAGAGGGAAACAGGAACTCCCTGTCCTCAGTGAACCCATACAACGACCAGGAGAGAAGGCGAGCAGTCCACTTACTGGAGTGACAGATGTCCTCACAGAGAGAAAGTGGTCACCAGCTTGGGGCTAGGGAGAGGGGAATGCAGCATTAGATGACTTCAAAGAGGAGGACATTTGAGCTGGACATTGAAAGATGAGTTTGTTGGGTATTTGAGGGCAAGAACATCATAGGTAGAGGGAGAATATGGTAAAGGACAGGGCCATGAAACGACATGGCAGGTCCAGGGCAGCAGGGTGCAGGTAGCTAGGGAGAATGCCCAGTGCAGTGGCTGGTGAGGAGACTAAGGCTACTTGTGGAGGGCATTTGGTCAAGCTGAGAGACTGAGCTTTTTTCCTATAGTCAACAGAGTACCAACAACTGGGAGGTTTTTAAGCTGGAGAGAAATATAGTGCAAGAGATCGGGGAGAGAGCCCTCTGATGTCAGAGGACCATCCAGAGGGTGGATGTTAAAGTCACAGAGGCCAGCCTGAAGGTTGTCGGTGCAGCCTAGGGTGTAGTGACAGTGAGAACTCATGGAGGAGTTGAAGGGAAGAGCCAATAAGAGGTGACATTAGTAGCACATGATGATCAGTGAGTTTTCAGAGGTAAAGGAGAGGAAGGGATGTAGGACCATCCCTAGAAAATAACATTGGCCATAAGCTCCTATTCCTGCTGTCTGTCCTTCTCTGTAACTCAGCTGTGAGTTAGCACAGAATGAAAAGCCCAGCCTGGAGTTCACCTGCACCACAGCAAGCAGGAAGAAGACTGGTCAAAGCTCCTGGCCCCAGACAAGCCTGTCCACCATCACCCAGCATGATGAGCAGAGGCCTTTATGCAGCTGGTAAAGGGTGTGCTCTAAATTGGGATACCAGGGAAATGCAAGGCAGGGCCCCATGGAATTATCTACTGGATAGGGCATAGTGATTGTGGTTAAAACACTTGAAAACACTTGAGCGCATGCACTCAGGCCAGCTCAGCCCTCTCGCAGGGCAGGCCCATACGGTTCCCTCTGGGTGTGTGCATTTGGCTGGAGAAGGAGGTGTTAAGTGAGATTGCCCAGAAAACTAAGAAACCCACTTTTGCCTCCCACTGTCTTAGCTTGGTGGATAGCTCATAAGAAAAGGCGGATCTGTCTGTAGACTTCTAATACTGATAAACTGTGCCGCATACTTTGGCACAGAGTTACACCCTTCAGCTGTTCTCTGTTGCTCAGTTGCTGAGATCTTCGCTTCCCCAGCTGAGGACAGGGGTTCTCCCTGGTTCCAGGTACAGCACTGGCCCGCAGTAGACACTGATGAATCTTTCTTTGGCTGACCAAATGGGCACATCTTGGTTCTTAGAGCACAAAAAGAATGTTCCTTCCCGGTTAATATGCTGTCCACACCTACAGTTAGATTACTTCTCCTTGGCTCTTCTGCGTGCTGTGAAACCAGACTTACCTCCATTATCCTTGTTGTTCATCAAGAAGAAACATAATGTTAGAATTATTTGAAAAGTATCTTAATTGCCACATAGGATAGTTGGCTGTATGCACACTGAGACCCATGCACGCTCACCCACACAGTTTCCTCAGGCAGGCAAAAACAACATTCCTGCTGTGCATGAAGGCTGCTGACAGGCTGAGGAGCACCAGTGGGGGACAGAAATTTCAGAATTGAGGCTCTCCTGGGAAATTACTCTGCTTTCATTTTGAATTCGTGTTCGGGAGCTGATGGCAGACCCCCAGCTGTGTATGGCTGACATGAGACCAAAGAGGAGGAGACAGTCTCTAAACAGAACTGTGATGCTCAGCATCTCTTTAAAAATAACATTACAGTTTGTTGTTGTTGTTGTTGTTGTTTTTTAATGAGAGCATTAATCTGCCTCCTATGATATGAAATACATTCAGGGATTATTTCCCTGTTGCTCTTGATACTCATTAAAAAGATAAGTAGGGGTTGAGTATCCCTAATCTGAATTGCTTGGGACCTGAAGTGTTTTGGGTTTTGTATTTTCAGGTTTGGGATGCTCAGCCTTCTTATATTTTTTCCTGTAATGCTTCTTTATTTTCTGATTTTCACAGTAAGCATACATGATCTTATAACCGAAAAAAGGTTAAAACGTTGTTACAAAAAAATCAACTGGAAACATCTTGAGGTTTTTACTAGTTCCATGTGGCAGATACTGTAAAAAGGGCAAAGTGTGTCTAAACTCATTTTGAGGGACTGTGGGCTGGTCTGGGGGGCAGCTCTGCTGGCCTCACCAGGGATGACTCGGAGTCTACTTGAGAACATGGGGACATGTGAGGAACTCAGCCTGTCCGGGAAAGGGGATCCAGGGCCTCTCTGATCCCCTCCTCCTCATTCACCCTCACGCAACTCATGAACGTGCCTGCCAGTTCTTGGGCAGCAGCCTCAGGCAGCCTCGAGAAAGACTTCCGCCATCCACGCCACACCCTGTTCCTTCATCCCTGTGTCCAAGGCAGTTATCTGACAGCTTTAGAAAGCATGCTGGGGTCCCACTGTCACAAAGCTGCTGGTCATCTCCACCCTCAACAGAACAATAGACCAACCGCATGGACTCACCACTTCCCATTGGGCATGATTCTGAAGAGACTTTTGAGAGTGCGGCTTAGAGTTCTTGTTGATTCAACAGCCCAGACAAGGGCTCTGCCCTTTGACTTATGCCGGGACACAGCTGAACCCGTCTACTTGGCCCCGTCTAACAACACAGAGCCCTCGAGTCAGCTCCAATTATTTCTTCTGGACCTTTCCAGAAGGGCTGGTACACTGAGGATGAGCAGAGAGGCATGGAATCGTGTGTTGATTCCGAGCATGGGCCCCAGGGTTAAACCGGCCACAGTTGAATCCTGCCTCCCACCAGAAGAGTAGCCTAGAGTAAGTCATCTTTCTGAACCTCAACTTCTTTATCTATAAAGTGAGGCAAATAAATTATACTTGCCTCACACTTGTAACTGCAAATAAAATCTGAACAAAGTGCTTATTGGAATGCCTTGCACTTAGCAATTGATTAAAAGCAAATCACTCTCACTGCTGTTTTTTCATTGCCATCATTACCTTCAGAGTCATTTGAAGTTTTAGGGCATTCGTTGGTACCCTCTCCCAAATTCCGCCATTACCCCAGATTTTCCAGCCTCATTGAGAATAAGGTCAACAGAAGTGTGGCTTACTGAAGGGGGATGGAGAGAGAAAGATAGGTTGGGACAGTAGGACTAGCGGAAAGAAAAGCTCTTAATCAACAGTTCCTGTTTTATAAGCAGTTGCCCCTCTACCATGGGAGGTCAAATAGTGCTTCAGCATCATTAGAAACTGGGAGGGAAGTGAAAGAGAAAAAAGATAAAAGAGAGAGGGGAATTTACATTTTTAAGAACTCACAATTTTATCTCTTTTACAAAGAGCTCAAATTAAGTTTCACATCTTACTTCCACAGTAGTCCTATGAGAAAGAAGAGAGAAGGTTCTTGAAGAATGTTCTTTAAAAGGGAAATGAGGCACAGGGAAGTTAAAGGGACCAGCCCAAGGTCATGTAGCTAACGAGGACATTCTTCCCACGTGAACACATTGAGGGCGAAGACTTAATCTGTAGTGTTCACTGTTGCATCCCTGGCGCATGGTACATGCTCAGTCAATACTTGCCGTCTAGCTGACTGAATGGGCGGCAGAAGCTGGCCCACCTGACCATCAATCTGTTTTTCTCGGTAGCACATTTACCCATTAGACCATGCTAGCTCTGTACCCTTGAATGTTGACATTCATGCATTTATGTAAATAACTCTTAATGACATGAATTAGGGGGGGGCTATGAAGAGTTGTCATGATCTCATGTGAGGTTAAGAGGATTCTGCAAAAATAAGCCAGCTGAGATGGTAACAGAAGGGATTTAGATAGAAACTGACAAGCATAGATGGCAGCTTAGTGAGGCCATGGGAGATTTTTCTTGGAAAGTTTCTAAAAATAAGGGAGTGTCTCATCTCGCTGGACTGGTTCATTTGTTCTCCTGCCTGAGGCTAGGTGCCTAGCCAGATGGAGTCAGTGCCCTTCCTGCACAGGTCAGGTGAGGATAGGTGTGCCCTTCTGCTGTGTTCCTACTTAAAATGTTGGTCACTGGCAAGATACCACTTCCTAGAGTAATTTATATTTGTAGCTTTAAAAAAAATCGAATAAAAACAAAATGTGGTTTACAAAAAATCCATAGACCCATTTCTATTTTCCTCTCTGATACGATTAGATTCCATCAGTACAGCTCGACTGCCCAGCTGTTGCTCTGGGTAATTCCCCAGTCGTTTTCTTAATCTAGGGGATTATGTGGTTCTGGGTAAAGCATTCACATGCCTCTCATCTTGCATCCAGCTCTGCGTTTAAAATTTGCAGTCACTGGAAAACATGAGGGGAATGTGTACCCCAGGATATAGACTAGCTGGGATGAAATCATTCTCCCTGGAGTACTAGGGAGCCTGGTCCACACTCTGACTGGGCCCCTAACCCTGAGACCCCGAGATGACCTCTCTCTGCTGCTGCTCTGAAGGCAGAACTTTCTCAGAACGCCAACTTCTTCTGTGTCATGCTCTTTAGAGGAAATAGCGTACCTAATTAAAGGAAAAAGATTCTGAAGTATGAACATCCTCAGTTTGTAAGCAATCCAGAAAATGGCTTTATTTTCTCTTATTGACACAGATGAAAAGAAAAGACTGAAAAATGAGCTTGCCTTATGCTAGAGGTCTTCTGCTTTCATATGCATTATCTAGTTTGATTCTCATTCTCAGGCCTCTGAGTGGGGCAGGTATGAATACCTCCTTTCCCAGCATTGCAGTTAGGCAGCATGCAAGTTAGGGCATCTCCCACTTCCTTTGCCTTCCATTTCCCCCGCCAGCCTTAGGGGAAACAAACAGCTGGAATCACTTTGTGGAATTCTGGAGAAAGTACCCTAGACCAGGAGGCCAAGACTTAATTCCTATTCTTGCTTTTGGTGTAATTAACTGCATGCCATTTGACAAGCCACTTCTTGTCATGCAAAGGCCTTGACCTGCAGAGATAGACCCAGGTTTGAATCCTGACCCTACTACTGATTAGCTGAGGGACATTGCATCATTAATGTAATCCCTCAGAAACTTCATTTCTCATTTGTAAAACTGGGATAATATTGTCTGTTTTGCAGAGCACCATGAGAATTAACTACAATAGAGGAATTTGGAGGTGAAGTAGCATGGTGTGTGAATTGCTGCAGGATCTGGGGAACTTCATCTGTTCTGTATGGGCAGTTGTGTAGACAGCATTGATGTGGTTTTGAGCATCAAGATGTTTTTTTCTACTCCTTCAGAAACATGGAAATGGCCAGCCAGCCAATGTGCCGGAATACAATGCCCCAGCCCTCCTAGAACTTGTGCGGGAGAAGGAGGAACGGATCCTGGCCCTGGAGGCCGACATGACGAAGTGGGAGCAGAAGTACCTGGAGGAGAGCACCATCCGACACTTTGCTATGAATGCCGCGGCCACCGCAGCAGCTGAGAGGTAAGACCAGTAGAACTCTGGTGGTAGTAAAACGAATCAAAGCAAAACAAACGGTCTATCCAGAGAGGCCCAAGACCCATCCTAGGGAGTGAGGTCAGCTAAAAATTATTTTTAAGTGGTTATAGTGCTAGTTGGAGAGCAAAGTGGTATAACATTTCTAGAGGGTAATTTGGCAATATATATTTTCCCTTTGAGTCCACAATTCTAGTTCTAGACATTTATCTTTTAAAAATCATATAAGTGCCTGAAGATGGATGTCTAAAGAGTTAATCTCAGTGTTGTTGAAAATATCAATACATTTAACACAGCCTAGATTTCAACAAGAGGAGGTTCATTTAATAATTTAAAGTACATCACACAGTGGAATACTGTGCAATCACCAAGAATGATGTTGTGAAAGTATATTTAAGGCACTTTTTAATGCTGGATTTATATCATGGGCCAAATTAGAAGAATAGATAATCCTCATAGCAGCCCTGAGAGCAGGTATATTATTATCATCTTTATTTTACAAGCAAAGAAAATGAGGCTTAGAGAGGTACAGTGGTTGACTCCTAATCACACTGGTAGTGGGTGGTGGGCCGTGTGTTAAATGGAGATCTGCCTGGCTTGAAAACTGATTTTATATAGTATGAAATTCTTTTCTGCTACTGTCAGTTTTTACCTCAGTTGCCTTACTTCTTTTTGTAGGTGCACAACTTATTCTGTCTTTATAAACCAGCTCAAAGTGTGCAGTAATTCACAAAAAAAGCTCCTAAATGTTCTGTTAAAACATACTGTTGTCAGAGTGAGCAAGGCACTCTTCGCCTTTGGCCACTGGATCTCAGCTGCATGCACAGTCGCTGCACACACGTGGGTGGCTGTGCAGGGGACCAATCCAGCCCCTCACTGCCTCCCAGCCAGTTTGCTTTCTGCCCATAAGTTATATTGGGCATTTAACTTAAAGTTGTTTGGAATTCACCAAAATTTAGGGTCAATTTATGTGGAAAGGATCCTCAAATTTCAAAGGAGCATCCAGAAAATGAGACTTCTTAATAAATAAGGGCTATGGTGCTATTTGGATGACAGCACATGAACCCAGAGAGGAGTAAAAGCCACATTGCCTTGGGATGGGTTACTATATTTTTAATGACTGCAAGAAGGCCTGTTGGGGTGGAGAGGGGATACTCTTGAAGTTATTCACTGGCTGTCAGGTTCATTACTGAAGTAGGGGAGAATCCCCAGTAGTGTGCTCAGATGTTAGCTCCAGGAATTGGAGAAAGCAGTGCCACCATTCGGGCGTTAGTGTCTGCAGTGGGCGCCGCAGCACACTTGCACCGAGAAAGACCTACAGACCCATGTGGAAAATGCCCATTTGGGAATCATTTTTCTGTGCTTCCACGTTGTTTATGTGTGTCTACACTTTGACGGGAAGCAACCCGCAGTATCTATGAGAGTGAGACTTTGGGAGCAGGTATAGACACTTGAGACGGTGCGGTGAAGCTCGGGGTACTGGGTTGAGAGCTGGAGGGAAGTCGCAGCCTCCAGTTCAGCCCTTGCAGTATATGGATGGGCACAGGGAAGCCTTTTGAAACATCGGCTGATTTTTACATAATTGAAATGTTTTTTTTTTTTCAGCTTTTTGTTTTCTAAGCTAATAACTAAATTTCCTCTCTCATTCCGAGGAAGAGAACAGGTCATCACAAAGTCACAAAGGGACCTGGCCTTCTTAGACATGTGTGGTCTAGTGCACTGCTATGCGCGGTTGCCCTGGGAGTTTCCTTCCTCCCTGTGATTGTAATGGAGAGAACGCTGCACAGAGAGGCAGGACACCTGCGCTCAGGGCTTCTCCCTCCCTTCCTGACTGTGCGTGTGTGATCCAGGACAAGCCCTTCTGAGTGTCACTTACATCACATGTGAAATATCAATGATGAGAGCAGGCAACCTGACCACATTGCTCTGGCTGAGAACACTAAAGCCCCAGTAGCAGTGTCAATGTGTGACCTTGGAGAAATGACACAGGGGCTTCCACGTGTCATTGTTGTTTCATCTGTGGGTTTATTGCGTTAGATGTCTGTTTGGGATCCTGGGCCCTGAGAGTATGAATAGGACTAGAAAGTTAAAATCAGGAGTGGGGTAATGATTGGGTCCAAAGCATAAACCCTGTAGTGGGCAGAGGAGGGAGGGCAGGGGGCGAGTAGAAACCACAGACCCAATCACAATCACCCGCTCACAGGATTCTAGGCCCAGCCTTATTCTTATCCTTTGTGCAAGGGGAAATTACTCTTACCCCAGAGAGCAGGACTTCTGTGGGATTTACCCAGTCCCACTGTTCCCCTTCTCTGCCTTATTTGAAGTCTTGGATGGGTAGAGGGAGCCCCTTTCCATCCCCGTCACCCCGCCTTCTTTGCTTTTACACATATTTATTAAGCATCTAATAATTCTGTGAGCAACTACCCTCCCCATTTCAGACTGCCCCTTCTGGGTGGGGGAATAGGTTCAGAGAACCAATCAGATAGTTAGCCCCAATCTTAATGTTCTTTTCAAAGAAAACCTCTGTCATTTCAGCGTTGCTTTTTTCCTTTCAGTAAGAGAAAAAAGGAAAATGAAGCGTTTTTGAGAAAAGTACACATTTTGAGCTCTTATTGACTAGGTGCAGGTGCTAAATGGCCACAGACAAATTGGTAAAAATGACTATTTCCAGCCATTAGTTTTGTGACTTTTCAACTACGGATGCATACTTTATATTTATAAGCAATTATTTTTAAACAAAGAAAATAACTTATGTACTCCAACTGGTTTTCCCATCTTTACGCCTCTTGATGCTGTTGGTCAGAATTTTTAGAGAGTCAGCTTATCCTGTATGTGTGCAGAAGGTTTTGAAAATTTTTTAAAATTTCAAAGCAATGTAATATTTCTTTCAGAGTTTTATATGTTTACTGTCTAAGTTGTTTTTATCTAATTGTGTTTGCTATCCTTACTTGGCAATGTAAACATGAATTTTTAGATTCGTTTCCAGCTCCATGTAGAGTCTCCAAAAGTAAATTTGTTGAAAATGTTTCTAGCCACTAATTTCTATGTTGATGATTTTGTGCACCATAGTGTGAATTTATAATTTTACAAATATGTTTAAAGCATTTTGTTTGCTTTCTACATCACTTGGCCTTTAGTGTATTTTCAATGACACTTTGCACTTTTCTGAGTCACATTCTCACATATGCCCTCTGGTTTGTTTTTATCTTTACTCATCTTTGCTGAGACCTTATTCTTAAAGACATACAAAACTTGCAGGAGTATAGAGTGATGGTTAGGGGCATGGACTTTGGAGTCATAAATACCTGAGTTAGAATCAATTTTCACTATTCACTAACTGAGTATTCTTGGCAATGTCACCTAACCCTGGTTTCTTCATCTAGAAATTGAGGATAATAATACCTCGTGCACAAGTTGGGAGAACTAAATGAGAGACCATGTATACCATGCCCTACCCAGTCCCTGTGTGAAGCTGATAGCTGTCATTAAAGGGGCCTCAATTTTTCTGTTTTGGGCTATTCTATTAAAAAAAAAAAAAAGCTTTAAAGTTTTCAGGCCGGTCACGGTGGCTCACATCTGTAATCCCAGCACTCTGATAAGCCAAGGCAGTTGAATCACCTGAGGTCAGAAGTTCGAGACCAGCCTGACCAACATGGTGAAACCCCGTCTCTACTAAAAATACAAAATTAGCCAGATGTGGTGATGCATGTCTGTAATCCCAGCTACTTGGATGACTGAGACAGGAAAATCACTTGAACTCAGGAGGTGGAGGTTGCAGTGAGCTGAGATCGTGCCACTGCACTCTAGTCTGGGCAACAAGAATAAAACTCCACCTCAAAAAAAAAAAAAGTTTTTCAGTATGATTGTACATTGGAACATGAAGTTAAAAAGATGTGAAATACTTGGCTACATTATGTCTTACTAATTAGGTACTCATGTAGTCAGAGCCATTATTGTGCCTTTCATCTTGAGATATATCACTTAGATGACGCAGTGATCTTATTTTTACTAATCATTGTTAGTTAGCAGCAATTGTCAAAACCAGTGGCAGGAATAGTTATCTGTGACTGGTTGTTTATAGTCAGACAGATGCTTGCGGTGAAACTGCTTCTTAATTTACTTGTGTCTGCCCTTGCCCTCACTGCACCCACCTCACCTGAACTTGTCAAGGACAGTGTCTGCCTTCATCTTTCTGCCCTGGGCCCTGGGATGCCTATTACCTTGTCCTGACCTGCATCCCAGGCAGGGCCCATAAAACAAGAAGTGAGACAGAATACAACATGAACGAAGACTTCAGCTTGGAGCCTCACTCGCTGAGAGGACCAGTCTCAGTTTTAAGTATTTACTGAGCCCCCATTTTACTGTAAAATACTGAAGTAGGCATTCTATGCTATATGGGCGATAAACAGAAATAAAACCTAAACTCTGATGGGAAAGGTGAGGCATGGGACAAGCATGAAAAAGTACAACCATGGAAATACCAACAAATATAATAATAATAATAATAGTGTCCATATGTTAGTAGATTAAATCTCTAGGTGCCTGTTTTACATATTCATAACATGCCATGTAGTTAAATACATAATGTAGTCACAGGGCAGAGGGGACTTGATTTTTGAATTTTTTTTGTTTTCCTTAGATACTGCTTAATTCTATCTAGTTTAGGAAGAGAATTGGACAGAATTCAGGAGAGGAAAAGTGGGTGAAGGAATTTGTGGAGTTTTAGCACAGCACCCTGTGGTCACCTCTCCACAAGCATTTACACCTTTCTCTGTATGGGCATCAGATGAGATTGATAACTGAGCTGAGGAAATTGGGAGGGAAGGCCTTCATGGGCCAGTGGGAGATGCAGAGCTGATCTCTGTTCCAGCATGAACACCAGCCTCTCCATTCTGTGTCTGTTTGCATTGAGACAAAGCAAGAAGGTTTCCCGTGATCAAACGCATATCCTTGTGTTGCCAGGGACACCACAATCATCAACCACTCACGGAATGGCAGCTACGGAGAGAGCTCTCTGGAGGCCCACATCTGGCAAGAGGAGGAGGAGGTGGTGCAGGCCAACAGAAGGTGTCAGGACATGGAATACACGTAAGGGACGGCTATGTGTGGCACATGGGACCCGCCAGCCCATGTTTGCATTCACACTCCAGGCCTTCCAGAACAGATTGCTTCTCTGTCATGTTCTGAAAGGCTGTGAACATGAGGTCTCCAAAAACCCTCCTCCCCCATGCTGTGCCATGGAGAGAAGGAAAAGGTTCCAACCTAAGCACGTGGTTCCACTCAGCAATGGGTCTGGTGCCAGAGTTGTCTGGGGGAAATTGCATGTCACCTGCAGGTTTTAAGATGCAAGCTGAGTCTAGTGACAGAAGAATTTAGATGTCTGTGTTATTTCTTGGTGTCTGTGACATTATGAGCTGAAAAGGGGAAACATTATATTCCAAAGGTTCAGAGTTTTTGAGCCAGAATGTATATATTCCAGTCCAAAATAAAGAACATATTTAGCTAATGCACTCTTCTGATGGGCTATACAAAATTTCCAGCAGACTTTTTGACATAATAAAATTAGCCTGTCCCACTTCACTACCTGAGGGCTTGTGGAACCCTGGGAGCCCCAGGCCTCTTATTTTGCAGATGTGAAAATAGGGCTGAGTAGTTGAGCCATTGATAGACAGGCTCAGTGAGTTACTATCAAAGTTGTGAAAATAACTCAGCATTCTTCCAGAAAAATCGTCTTCTACCAGAGGACCTGTTCATCTTGGTTCTTTTTTCTTAGAAAATAGAGAAATTGACTTTAGTTGAAAGCTCACCCTGTTTGAGGCTTTAGAGTTTTTATGCTTCCCTAGCCCCTACCTACCCCTAGCCCCCGCTGCCAATGCTAGACCCTCTAAATATGGTCCCCAGCCCACTTCGGTCCAGGAATGTGGCCAGTCATTCTAACCGTACCTCCCTGAAGTCCCAGTCTCCCAAGGTGCCAGAGAAGGGTGTACTCTTTTGACCTATGACCAAAGACCTGTCTTAACAATTTGGAGATTATCAACATTTGAAGACTCGTACTGTGCTTCATCCTCTATCCCTAAATTACAATTAAAGTCCTTGGGACAGCCTGAGATAAATGTTTCAAGTTTTTCTAGCCAAGTGGCTTTTTATGAAGACTGTTTTGTTTTGTTTTACAGCATTAAAAATCTCCATGCCAAAATCATAGAGAAAGATGCTATGATTAAGGTCCTGCAGCAGCGATCTCGTAAAGATGCCGGAAAGACAGACTCCTCCAGCCTACGTCCTGCCCGCTCCGTTCCATCCATAGCAGCAGCTACTGGGACACACTCTCGCCAGACCTCTCTTACCAGCAGCCAGCTGGCCGAGGAAAAGAAGGAAGAGAAGACCTGGAAGGGGAGCATAGGTGGGCCCCACACCTCTGTCAGGCCGTGATTGGAAAAGCAAGATCAGACAGCTTTTCTGCCACTCATGGGACATGGAAATGTCCCTGAATAGTTCCTGGTCTCAGTTTACTCATCTGTGAAGTGGGGAGGGAAATCAATCATACTTCAGTTATAGAAATGCAGTGAGATATGTGGAAGCACCGTGTACATTCTAAGACTGCACCACTGGAGTAGCTCTTAGCCGTGGGTTGACTCAGATCATAATTATCTATTATTGTTATAAGTTGAGGTGACCCTTGTAACACAAAAGGCTGTCATGGAAAAGCCTAGAGACATCACACCTCTGAACTTGGCTGTGCTCTAGACCAGTTGTATGATGGCTCCACCTCTGCTTCCATGTCTAGAAAGGGAGGACAGTGTCTGCCTGCTTTACCCCATGGGGCATGGGAGGGAAGAATGGGATAATGGGGAGAGGACATTGGAAGAAGTGCTGTCTCACATAAGGTGGGGGTGATAAGTTTTTGCTGTATTGTTGCATGGGCAGAATTTTGAGAAACATTCTCTAAGTGTGGTCTTAGCCAGGAGTAGGTTTCCTGGGGGCAGGTGGGCTTGTTGGCTGGCTGGGTTAGCCAAGCTGGAGGGGAAGCAGGCGGCGTGCCCACACACAGGTCCTCCATACCCTTTCCCTGCACTCTGGCCTCTCCAGGGGTCTGGCCCTTCTTTGATGCATTTCCCCACATCAGATCATGTTTTCGTTTCTCTGTGCAGCTGAGAGCCAGTTGTCCTCAGCACAGGACCCCAGAGGAGACGGGCTGCTCTGGGCCAGAGGGGATAAGAGCTTCCATATGAACCCGACAGAGTTGGGGGAATCAAAGGCTCCCAGCCAGAATCTCTGTTTGAAGTTCCTCCACTGGTAGCTTCAGCAGCCCCTGCCCCCAAAGGAAATACACTTCAAAGAAGACATGTGTGTACGGCAACTGAGATCATCAAAGACTGTCCCAAGGACATTTAGCTCCCAGCCCAGCAAGAGAGCCGGGAGGCAGTGCTGAGACAGGCCTGGTCAAGGAGTTTGAAAATGTGCTCAGCTCTGGCAGAAACCTCCCTGGGAGTCCCCTGTTTGTGACATGCAGCCAGGCAGGCATCTCTGGTGTCTGTGCCTGTATCCCCTAGGACCTGGCATGTCTAAACCAGGCCTGGGAGCCGGAGGACTTGTCTAAAGGAAGAGCTGCTGTGTTTCCTGCATTGATATTCCTCCTTGTTGTTGTCATTGGTGTCCACGTGTCACAAACACAGGGAGGGACTCTCCTAGGGGCTGAGGCAGGTTCATAGGTGACTGTGCAGTTCCCCACATGTTGTCACCATTGCTTGCGTGATGGGCTCTGGAAGGAGGTGGAGGTGACAGCATATACCTTCCCAATTGCCCAGGGGCTCCCAGGAGCTATGGCTGGCTAGTGACTTACTCAGCCTGTCACTCCCTACGAGGACATCCTGCAGACTCTGGAGTTTCCACAGGCTGGGCGATGAAGTGGAAAGAACATGGGTTGAACTCCAAGTCAGGCACAGCTGGGTTTGAGTCCCATTTCTGCTGCTGCTTAGCTGTGAGATGTTAGTTTTTCTGAGCTTCCATTTCCTTCTCTGTAAGACAGGATAAGGCCTGCCTCGCAGGAAGGACATGCAGTATGAAGTGAGGTGATGTGGAAGCACAGGTGAAGGCCTTTGCTGCTCAGCATGGTCTGTGGGCCAGCGGCACCGTCACCATCGGGGAGCTTCTTAGAAATACAGAACCCCAGGCCCTGCCTGCTGGATCCGGTCTTGATTTTAACGATATAGCCAAGTCATTGGTATGCACATTGCATTTTGAAAAGCACTGCTCTCGACAAACCGAACTGCCCTGAGTTCTGAATGGGCACCTTAAAACAGCCCTGGCGAGGAGACTTGATGAACTGCTGGCTATCTAACCAGATAAGAGGACAAATACTTGATTGTGCTTACCACATTTTCTATAGGCTAGCGTTCTAGGGTGCTGGCACTTTCCTTCTGGTGTGCTGTATTTAAAAATAAAAAGTTATCCTCCTGCCCAGCTTTCCAGGAAGGCTCTGAGGAAAATGGACACCTGTGCACACCACGCCTCCCATTTCCATAGCCAGCGTCTCCTCTTCCCCAGCCCAGCCTCACTCCTCTTGGGGAAGGGGGTAAGGAGAGGGCTAAGTGGCCTTTCCTAGGAGGCTGGCTGGCTGGCTTTCTGCTTCTGGGAGGCTACAGTTCCACTGCAGAAATGTGCAGGTAGCATGTTTATCTTTGAACCCAAGCCTGTAGGGGAGCATCCATCCATTACGAGGAGTAGGGTGGAATTGTGAACTATTCAGAAGAGCAGCAAGCCAATGGGAACATGTCTAGGACCGGGGAAGCCTTGTAGCTTTTCTTAAGCACACTGCCATGCTTCAGGCCAGCCCTTCTGGGCCACGTTGGGGGCAGCAAGCATGGTCTCTACAAAGCCTTGCAGGAACCTCCCTATCCCTCCTGCTGGCAATTAGGCACTTCTCTGTTCGTCCATACCACCCTGTGATTAATTGTATCCTACAGTTTATATATTAAATTATAATCAGTTTACTTGACAACTACTTCTCCACTCCAAAAAAAAAAAAAAAAACCTACAGTTTTTTAGGAAGGGGACTAGGTCTTTCATTTTTTTATTCTCTCAGTGTTTGGTATTTTATCAGGCTTGTAATAAGTGTTTATTAAATGCTTGGGGAATGAATCAATGAATGAATGAATGAAGCAGTCATCAGTCAACAAGGAACAGACCTCCAAGACTAGATTTAAAAAAAAAAAAAAAAGGGAAAAAAAAGAATGTCGTTGAAAAATCTGTTCTCTGCCCTCAGGATTGCTGCTGGGGAAGGAGCACCATGAACACGCCTCTGCCCCACTGCTGCCACCCCCACCCAGCTCAGCACTGTCCTCCACAGCCTCCACGACGGCAGCCAGCAGTGCCCACGCCAAGACGGGCAGCAAGGACAGCAGCACACAGACCGACAAGAGTGCCGAGCTCTTCTGGCCCAGCATGGCCTCCCTCCCCAGCCGCGGCCGGCTGAGCACGACCCCTGCTCACAGCCCTGTCCTGAAACACCCAGCGGCCAAAGGGACCGCAGAGAAACTGGGTATGTGGGCTACCCCACCTTGATGCCCCTGAAACCTGTGGAACTGTCTGGCCTAAGAGAATCTTTTGTTGAGCTAGAGAGGAAGCAGGAGCACCCATTAGCTCTTACTCTGTGGGGATGTTTATGAGTGTGGCTATCCTAATGCACTTAGGATATGTATGTGTGCCCTTTCTTATTATGGGAATAAATATGCATATAGACACATCTAATTTATTACTATTTGAAATGAGTGCAGAGCTTGAGACTGCCCTGGCAGTGCATGCTTTTTAACTAACCCTTCCCCGGAAGGAGTGACAGCAGACCCTCTGAGGGACTGAATGCCCTCTAGTATGTTTGGGAGCCAGAATTAGGTACCAGGTACATCAAAGGCACAAGTTCACTGTTGCCTTCAGGGCTCTGACTTGCCAGGGATTCTGGCCTCAGTGGAGGACATCGTGATGGAAGGAGAAGGTAGATTGACCTGCAGAGTCGGTTAACTTGTGACACAGCAGTTGGGCCAGGACTAACGAGCTGCTTAAAATATCTAAGGGAAGACAGCTTGGGAGAGGTGAGCTTTGCAGTGAGTCCCGAAGTGTCCTGGGTAAGAATAAACCTGGCCTTGTGCTAATCATGGTCATGAGGACCTCCCTTTTCAGGAATTCTTTTGAGGAGGCGCAGCCTCTGTGGGGCCTAAGTTAGCTGTTTCCTCCAAGAGGGTTGTTTATTTTCACTTTTCAAAGTAGACAAGTAAATACAATGTTGTCACTTTTTAAAGATGTAATTCTTTTCCGAGTAAGCCAGAGAACATGTAAAAAGTGCCTGGCTCAGAATATGCGCCTGATAGTTTTGAGTAGAGGGTGTGAGGGGCCCCTGTACAGAGTCCCACTATCATCCTCACCCTCTGAATCCTTTGCCATCACCATCCTGGTTTGTATTTGTGTCTGAATCCTGGCCCAGTCATTCTGTGTGTTCCCGCTGTGGGCTGGATCATTTCACATGCACTGTGGTGGGAATCCTGGGTGTGCAGTGGTATTGGACGTGGGTCCATTTTAGAGAGCCTGGAAAGCCTGTGCCCCTCCTGAGGAATGGGCAGCTGATGTCTCCCCTCTACTTGGCAGAGAACTCTCCTGGCCATGGGAAGTCGCCTGACCACAGAGGCCGGGTCAGCAGCTTGCTGCACAAGCCTGAGTTCCCCGACGGAGAGATGATGGAAGTCCTCATCTAACTGCCATCCCTGTGGAATTTCAGAACGGAGCATTGACAAACAAGGAAAGTGGCAGAGAAAGAAGAAAGACCTAGAAGGTTGTAGTGGGAAATCAGGAATGATTTGAACTGATAAAGATTTCAGACTCCTAAGAACACATTTTATAAATGTTAAACACAAAAACAGGAGACCTACATGACTGAAGATAGAAGAGAATGCGATGGATTTTATTACACATAGTGGAAGGGAGAAGAGGCGTGTAGGTTTGCAAACAAAGTTAAGAAATAGGAAATTGAATTTTTCGTTGTACAGAAAATGTATCTCTTGGGGAGGGCTTGTGTATCCCCATTCTCTGATTATAAACAGATAAACCCAAATGTGGATCCTCCTTGGAATACCCCCATTCTCCTTGCCTCTTAGCATGTTTGGTTTAAGAAGAGCCTCCAAGAAATCTTGAGAGCCTGTCTTGGCATAATGCAGTGTGACTTGTGCCAACCGTGGGGTGTCCCGTGTGTGTGAGTGTGGCAGTGAGAAGAAGCATGGAGGGCGAGGGGGATATGAAAGCTGGTCTTCACCTAATTACCTGTTTGGTTTGGATTTCCAAGAGATGATTGGGCTTCTTAGCTTTTCTGAATTCTGCAGTATTTTCTAAGCAGGATGGATTATGATCTCAGTCCTCATCCATCCTAACTTCTAAGTTCATCTCTGTCTCTGCTTTACGGTCTTTAATTTTTTGTTGTTCCTTCATTTGTTTTTGTTTTTAATAAGACATAGCAGAATTCCTTAGGTATGGGATTTATGAGAGCAGTACCTGAACTGTCATCATTCCTGCTTGCTTGATAGTGACCAGTAGGACAAAGCCATGTGCCGCTTCCTGGCTGCTTCACCTTTGCATAGCTGGGTTGCAGCTGTGAACCTCATTCTGACTGTGAACTAAGCAAGCTTTGAGGAAGCAGGAGATTCCATGGGTCCCTGTGACATCTTGCATTAAGATCGTGGCACTTGCTTTTTTGTCTCTCACATCGGCTCTCTTGCAAGGAGCTTGACATTTCCAAACTCCATTGCTCTGTTGGGGAAGACTTAGGACAGCACTCCAGGAAACAGATGACAATTTACAGACAGTTGTCTCAGTGGTTTCCAGAATCCCACCAGCTCCCATGTACCTTCTTGTATTGAGGCTCATGAGCGTATTCACACTCTTTCCACCCCTGCGCACGCCTCTGCTTGCTCTCGATCAGCACCCAGACCTCCATGGCACTAGCTTGCCTCTGTTGTGAACTTCTTTTGTAACCTACCAGGCCAGTGTATATACAGTGTTGTCAGGCTTTTCAGGATTTCAGTTTTGAAGCAGTTTATTCAAAGTGAGACAGAAGTGCCATGGAAAAGAGGCAGGCGTGTGTTAGGTGGCAGGTCCCTTAGACCTCTGCTGTGACATTGCATATTCAACTATTCTGACACTGGCTTCCTTTACAAATCTAGGAGATGCTGGATTAGAAAAGAGGAGAAGCTCATCAGGCCATCAGAGAGATGCTCCTGCAGGGTCCTGATGTTTGTGTCCCTCCAGGTCAGCTGGATTGGTGTTTTCCTAGTTCCCTTTCCTCATGCTTGCTTAGAGGAAGAAAGAAAGGGGGGTACCTTTTCCAAGTACCTTCTAAATGAAACACTCAAGACAGTGCTACTCAGGAAACATTGCTCGGGTAGCTTATTTTAGGACTGGTCTTGGGTGTGTAACCCTGGTGAAGTTATAGCCTCCCCAAATTGAGGTGATAGAAGGAAGACAAGAGGTGTAGGCTGGAGAGGGGAGGGAAGAAATCAGTGGCTTTGGCCGGCCTCTGTGCCACCCAGTATGACAGAGGAGTGGGAACTGGCCCTCTGGAGCTCTGCTTTGCCATAGGCACTGCACATTGTGCCACTTGCTCATCACCTCCTCTAGTCTGTCACTGAGCATCGGAGTACATGTTGTGCAGATGGGAAAACTGAGGAGCTCTGAGAGGCTGAGCATTGAGCTCGCCCCATGTCCTAGGGTGTGGGAAGAGGGCACAGGAGGCCTCATCCATTGGGGAAAGGATTGAGGATGGACATGGGTGGGGAGAGGGCATAGAGATCCCTTCCTAATCTCTGTTCCCACCACATTTCATAGGAGATGAGGTTAGGAGATGGCAACTAACTCTCTTAAGGACATTTTGACCCCAGTGTATGTTGGGGATGGACCAGAAAGTAAAATGTCTAGAGATAGGAAGGTAAGTCAGCTCTGCCAGCCCCTACCATCAGGTCTAGGCCACCCCAAACTTGGGCTGCCTCCCTTAGACGTAGGTTAGAGTGAGATACCCAGCCGTTTCTCCCGAAGCCTGGTCTTCATGTCCCAGACACCTCATTGCCCTAGTCAGGTGTCAGACTTGCTTGCTTTTCAAGGTCCGCCTGAGCTGCCAAGTGTTTTCATTGTCAGAATACAAATGGACTCATGGCCATGTTTCAGGGCTTCAACTGCATTGTATTGTGGACTTTGACAACATTTTTTTCCTCTTAACCTACTAAGACTCTTCCTTAAGAACGGGATCTCTAGCTTTAAAATGCCACCTTCTGTGGGAAATTTCCTGCCAAGCCAGGGCACTAAATACTTTCATCATTAGAGCTTTCCTGAAGTCCGGCCATATACTGAGCACCTGCTCTGAGTTCTGGGCAGCTCACACTATCTCAAACAGGTTTGCAGAAAAATAATGCAACTATATTTTCTAGCGCCAACTGTATGCAAACAGTGTGGTAAGTACCTTTTAATTAGTCCTCCACCCATCTGGAGTACAGGGGGTGAGTTTATTATTCTGATTTCACAGATGAGGCAATGGGCTCAGAGAGGTTAAGTCCCTTCCTGAAATCTCACAGCCAGGAGAAGCCAGGATGATTTAAAACAAAGTTTGGAGAGGCGCTGCGCATAGACCGTGGCTGTACGGCCTCTAACATGCGGCGCTGCATCTTGGCAGTCTCTGTCCCTGTCTGTGATGTGCACGTGCACATGTACCTACGTGGGTGCACACACACACAGCTCTCACACATCTCAGAGCCTAAGAAGTAGGACTAAGCCCAGAACTCCTAGAATCGCCTATAAATGCCAGGCATAGACGGAAATTACTGTGTTCCACCAAAAGCACAGCTCCAAACTATACCTAAAAGATACTTCTGCACTTTGCAGAGACCTGGACTTCAAACGTTCCCAGTGGAGCCTGATTATAGAACTTGAGGGTCCTGTCTCAGGGTGAAGGGGAGAGGCTCCGGCTTCACAGGAAGGTATTCCAGCATTGTTCTGCTTCACCCTTGACTGTGCTGTCTGGCAGTTTCTGTGTGCTGCCAGGAGAGTATATGGAATTGGAGAAGTTGGAGTCAGGTCTCTGACGCCGGAGTTTCACTAAGTAGATGCCTCTGTACCTAAGAACTATTCCTGTCTGCAGGTCCGTATAGCTATGCTGCCAGGAAAAACACATTATTTTCCAAAACTTTCAGAGCATGTGCAGAACCCTGTCTCAGCATTTTCTTCTCTCAGCATTTTCTCTGCCTCCCAGAGGCTGGCAGCCAATGGCACTGTGGAGTTCGGCATGTTCTAACCGTGCACGCAGGGCAGGGCTGCCTTGGCGCCCCTCAGGCTTTGGTTGGGAGAGCAGGCAATGGGAGCCCTTCTGGGTGCAGTCCTCTGGGGTTGCTCTTTGGCACTCATATATGAGTTTGACTCCACAAGGCTTGGCATGGATACCAAAACAGTTGCACCAAATTAGTTCTGAACCCGGAACACAGAAGTCAGTGCTTCAGGAAGGAGGTGCTCAGAATGCCCCGTGCAGAGCAGCCAGTCATTCCTCTTGTTTGTTCTCACCTGGGTGTGCACCCTCATGATGCGGTGGCTGCAGCACCTTCATGCCAGGTGCTGAGAGAGTGGGAAATTCTTCCTCCCCACTGGCCTGAGTCCCAGAGACTTAGGGAAACAGACCTCAGGTGAGGCTGGGGACCTACGAAGCAGTGGATAATAGATTGGATAATCAGAGCTTTTGAGGCAGGGGGCTCATGTTTTCACTGCAGGGAGTTATGCTGAGCAAAGAGATGTGTTTTTCAAAACCAGAGTATTGCCCCGTGTCCACACTGGAGTAAGTGGAGCATGCTTCTCTGTGTTCCCTGAATGATTTTGCACTCCTTTTAAGCAAAGGAGTACCATGGCCATGGTCAGTGGGATCCCACAAATGTTCTTAAATGGGTAAGGTTTTAAGTAGCCAGAGAGTATCCAGCCTACCACTGGCTTCTCCACATCCTAAAACCTGAGACAGCCTTGGTATATGCTTTGTAAATGTTTCTTTTCTTGTTGTTTAAGTAATTAAAGTGTTTAAAATGTCTTCATTAGATGTGACGATTGTTTAATGAGTTTGCCTCTGACTTGTGGCTCCATGGGAGATAGGCAAAGTAATTAAGAAGTTACCAGAAATTGGTCGGCTGGGGAAATGCAAAAGTTAGCATTTCAGTAAGTGAATTTCTCCTGGAACAAACGAGCAATTTTTCCTCTTTCTCTTAAGTAGTATACCCTTTTCTCACTTAGTAATTTAATGGTATATGAAGACATGTGTATAAGTGAGTGCATACATATGAGGTATGACTATAGGGTTGTTTGTGGGAATTTCTTTTCTTAACACACAGAAGATCAAAGTGTTTCATCTCACCCCGCCCTCCTTAAAAGGTGTCTTTTGGGAGACTATGTGCTGATTGACTATAGTGCTGCCAAGTAAAAAGATCTTGGGAACTCTTCTACCAGAACGGCCTTCGGGGCTTGTAGCGTTCCTTTGGTTTCCCCTTAGAGATGAGAAATCCTCCTCCTTTGAGGATGGATTTAAGTTCTGGAAATAATCTCAAGTACTTGATAGCACAGTTGGATGAATAAAGATGGCAATTAAGGTAAGTTACACCATTTTTGTCTCTAAAAAAAATCCCTAAGAAATTTCTTGGAATGAGTTTTTAGACTCAGAGCCTCTCAAAGTGTCCGCTTCAAGGGAGGACCGTCCTCATTAGCACACCGATTTTTTTTTTTTTTTTGAGACGGAGTCTCGCTCTGTCACCCAGGCTGGGGTGCTGGAGTGCAATGGCGCGATCTTGGCTCACTGCAAGCTCCGCTTCCCGGGTTCACGCCATTCTCCTGCCTCAGCCTCCCGAGTAGCTGAACTACAGGCGCCCGCCACCACGCCCGGCTCATTTTTTGTTTTTTTGTATTTTTAGTAGAGACGGGGTTTCACCGTGTTAGCCAGGATGGTCTCGATCTCCTGACCTCGTGATCCGCCCGCCTCGGCCTCCTAAAGTGCTGGGATTACAGGCGTGAGCCACCGCGCCCGGCCAGCACACCGATTTTAAAAATCAATTCTCTTGCCATGCCTCCTATGTGTTCACATCTCTGCATACACTACAGACGTAAGTGCATAATCATTCATATAAACATCTGGTAGGTATTCTGTAAAACTGTGTTTACTTTAGTGCATGTTATTGTCATGTTACGATGTGACTGGGGTGTTTCTTTGTCATGAAACTTTGCTTCTTCACAGAATTAGAATACTGCTCCCTCTATATTGAAGTACATATACAGCATTTTCTTATATCAGCTCCCAAAGTCTGGATGCCTGGTGTTGTGTTTACATGTGATTGTGCCTAGGAGTCTGTTCACATAGAGACACCTGTAAGTATTTATTACAAAACGGAATGTAAGCAAATATATCCACATTGGTTTTATTTGAATCAAAGTTTTGTTTTGTTTTGTTTTTTTCCTTTTGAGGAGGAACAGGGAGCCTCCTCCTCCATGAGCACTTACAGAATTGTGTAAAATTCTGTGAAACAAGGGCGAGTGTGGGCACCGGTTTCAGCCGTTCCAGTGCCGCTGCCCTCCCACCTACTCTGTGTGTGTGTGTGTGTGTGTCGCTGTGCTTGGTGGCAGTGTGCCGTGCTCATGCCGGGCTCTTCCCAGCAGACGCTGGTATCCGGCTGTAACGTTTGGCATCTTCGTTTTGCCAGTCTGTGTTAAGGGGTGGTGTACGTGGCCGTACAGCCAGATGGGTCTGTGTACCAGTGTGGGGAGTCCAAGAACACTGCCTGTCCCCCACAGCAAATATTGATGCTGTTGGTCAGCCAAAGATTTTCCTCTTCTTTGCTGCTTAAACTTGTGCCTTAATATTGTACATAATAAATGGATGAAATGGCAAAACGGCTCTTCCCTCTCGCTTGCTCTTTTCTTCCTTAAAGAACTTATAAACTGGTGCTCAATAAATGTTTCGTTTCGTTGTAATCCACTTTGTGTTTTGCTTCAGAGGCCCTCGGCTCCCTGCTTGTGGGCCTCACGCTGACACCAACACGCAGCTCTTGACTCTGAGGAGGAAATGAATCATCTAGACCACCGCGGCTTGCAGTCCGCCCACTCCCGACTCCGCCAGACAAATAAGGAGAAAGGAAATGCAGGGTGACTGTGGGCCTGGCTGTCCACTTTGATCACATGTGAGTGTCCACTTTTGGGGTTCCTCAAGTCAGAGCCTGCAAATGATCACTGTAAACTGGCTCTGTCTCAGGAATTCACCCAGGCAGCCTGGAGTCAGCCATGCCTCTGAGCCTGAGGATGGAAATGGGAGATGGGAGCTGTTATGTTAGCGTCTTGGGGTCACAGGAGAAAAAAGCGGGACTTTGGTGGAAAGGAGTCACATGGTAAGTGGGTGAAATTCAGGCCAGGAGCCTCAGGGACTGAAGCAGAACAGAGTAATAAGACTCATGAGAATATTCACATGAAGGCCCCTCCCCGGGATCACTGTGTTTAAGAGAGGGTGGTGCCTGCTGTTTATTCTGTGGTCATGCCTTTTCAGTGGAAGCCTCTGTCCTCCTCACCCACTCCCAGCCCTGGCATAGGAAAAGCTTCCTTGATGTGAGCTCTGGGGGAGCATGAAAGACACATCTCTAGCCCCCCAATAATCATCGGTGTGATTTATATGCATTATCTTCTTCAGTCACACAACAACCTCGTCATCATCCCCACTTTAAACCCCAGGAGACTGAAACTCAAACAACCTTAGGAAAGTAATATGCAAAAGATGGCAGGGCGGGGATTTGAACCCAGGTCTACCTGATGCAGAGCCAAGGCACTTGCACGTGCAAGGTGGGTGGATGCTGGGAGGCAGAACAGCTCATGCTCCTGTCTGCCTGGCTTCTTGTCTGTCCTGCTTCTACCCCGAGGAATCCTCTGCAGGGAGCGCCATCTCTGTGCGTGCATGCAAATATGACTCAGTTCATGTAAAGATGCACCCTTGAGCAGCTCGGGCGGCGGGAGGAGTGGCAGCGGCCAGGCAGCCCAGTTTCGCGAAGGCTCTCGGCGCGCCGCGGCCCGCAGGCACCCGGCACGCGCCTTCCCCGCCGCCAGGATGCCCAAGAGGAAGGTCAGCTCCGCCGAAGGGGCCGCCAAGGAAGAGCCCAAGAGGAGATCGGCGCGGTTGTCAGCTAAACCTCCTGCCAAAGTGGAAGCGAAGCCGAAAAAGGCAGCAGCGAAGGATAAATCTTCAGACAAAAAAGTGCAAACAAAAGGGAAAAGGGGAGCAAAGGGAAAACAGGCCGCAGTGGCTAACCAAGAAACTAAAGAAGATTTACCTGCAGAAAACGGGGAAACGAAAACTGAGGAGAGTCCAGCCTCTGATGAAGCAGGAGAGAAAGAAGCCAAGTCTGATTAATACCATATACCATGTCTTACCAGTGGTCCCTGTCTCCCTTCTTGTACAATCCAGAGGAATATTTTTATCAACTATTTTGTAAATGCAAGTTTTTTAGTATCTCTAGAAACATTTTTAAGAAGGAGGGAATTCCACCTCATCCCATTTTTTAAGTGTAAATGCTTTTTTTTAAGAGGTGAAATCATTTGCTGGTTGTTTATTTTTTGGTACAACCAGAAAATAGTGTGGGATATTGAATTACGGGAGGCTTTGACTGTCTCGGGTGCCAGCTTAACATTCCATAGACGGGGGGTTAGTTTTTATATCCTATAATACAGAGCATATTAAACGGCAATATGGAGTCAGTCCTGCATTTAATGTCTTGAACATTTTATTTTACTTCTATTCTCATGTTTTTTAGTAGAATTGTTTCCTACAGAAAACCACTCCTTGATCATGGCGCTCCCTGTCGGAATTGTGTGCACTCTGTAACAGCTTTGGTTGTGGTAGTCCTGTTTGCCTAATAACTTCGTTACTGTGCTGTGAAAGATTACAGATTTGAATATGTAGTGTACATGCTATTCAGTTGTGAACTGGTGGGCCATACGTAACAGCTGACCAACATGTGAAGATACTGGTACTTGATAGCCTCTTAAGGAAAATTTGCTTCCAAATTTTAAGCTGGAAAGTCACTGGAATAACTTTAAAAAAGAATTACAATACATGGCTTTTTAGAATTTCGTTACATATGTTAAGAATTGTGTACAAATTGAAATGTCTGTACTGATCCTCAACCAATAAAATCTCAATTATGAAAATATTTTGGAGCACATGGATTAAAAAAAAAATAAAAATAAAAATAAAAAAAATAAAAAAATAAAAAAAAAGATGCACCCTTGCAGCTCCCCAGCCTCCACCTGTCAGGATGACTCTGGGAAGACAGCTGGAGGACTGCATTTGTGTTTAGTGTTTATAGGACCTGAGTTGTCGCCTCCCCACGCTGATCCCACGTGTGTACATCATGCGAGCCACCCCCTGAGCTCTGACCTTTCTCTTGGCCCCTTGTACACCCCAGGAGAGAAGTTCTCAATCCCAGCAGTTCTGTGTAGTCATTCCCAGTGGTACACGTCTGGCCCTGAAGGAACACTGGCCTCCATTCTGCCTGTTGGGCTGGAGCCTCAGGAACCGCAAGAGATAGCGATGTGTTTTAAGTTGCCCAGGCTCATGGTGATAAGGAATTAGGTCACAAACGGGAAATAAACCAGAAGCAGCGAAATTCCTTTCTTAAAGCTCTGTGTTGTCAAAATAAAAGAAGCTTTCTGTCATTAAAGAATGTCGTTATGGTTTACTGTTTCTGTTGCCTTTTTATCAAGCGTGACAGTGTGTCTTTGATGTGCTTCCTTTATCTGCCTCTGTTCCTGGCAGGCAGACGTCCCAAGACCATTCCAAGTGAGCCAGGACTCCCTCACTTGGTGAGTCTATCATCTTCAAAGTTCCTCCCTTTTTAGAATATTACGAGATATATAGGTGATTTTTAAAATTGAACTTGGAGTTTATGGGAACGTGGGAAGCCCTCCGTATCTGATGTGGAGTTCTATCAAAGGGTGACTCTCCCCAAGTTTTTGGAGACTCATAATATGTATACAGATAATATAAGGATCATAGACTACATCGTT